AATATGCTGACTTGCTTCTCAAGAAACACTCTTTATTACTATCAATGTTGAAGACAGTTGCTCTGCTTAATATTGTTGTGGAAACGGTAATATTTTTTTCAGGATTCTTTGATTAATAGTAAGTTCAAAATAACAGAATTTATTTGAAGCAATAAATGCAACAATATGAAACAAAGTATAATTCTAAAGTAATATTATAAATGTCTTTACTGTCACTTTTGATCAATTTAATGCATCCTTACTGAATAAAAGTAACAAGTAACAGTGTCTCTTCAGGGAGAATCACCTTTTATATAATCATGCTTATATATATATATATTCATTCAACCTCCTTCATACATTTAAGATGAAAAAGGAAGAAAGAAGAAAATAAAACATTTAAAAAAACAACAACAGCAGTCTCACCTCATTGTGGGGTAGACCAGCTGCAGAAAAAATGGGAATTTTTTGGCCTCTTGCAATACTGTTCATTCCATCAATGGCAGAGATGCCTGTCTGGATCATTTCCTCAGGATAAATACGACACTGAGGATTAATCGGCTGACCTACAGGAAGCAGGAGGAAATTGGATGGTACACATATCATCGATACTCAAAAATGCTACTGATGAGTATTTGTGAGCGTAATAATTTATGTGGCCTCATTGAAATGTACCATTAATGTCTAAGTAGTCCTCTGCCAGCACCACAGGTCCTCGATCAATTGGCTTTCCTGAGCCATTGAAGACCCGACCTGTAACAGACTTCTAGTTTTAGCAAGTACACATGATACAAAATATCACATGGCTTCAGCATGTCTCCTTTTTTCTTCTTACCCAGCATATCCTCAGACACAGGGATGCGCAAAATGTCCCCTGTAAATTCACATGTGGTTTTTTTGGCATCGATACCAGATGTTCCCTCAAACACCTAAAAATGAATTAATGAGGGATGATACTGATCAGATTTCCACAATGGAGGAAATCTTTTTTTAAAACAGTTATTTCAGAAGGTCTCGTTCCCTGACCTGGACCACAGCTTTGGAGCCTGTGACCTCCAGCACTTGTCCGCTCCTCTTGGTGCCATCAGGCAGAGTCAGATGAACAATCTCAGCAAACCTGGGGAACTGAACCACATGTTACTAAACAACCTGTTAACATTGCATCAAGAACTTTAGTGTAATCCAGTACTTTCCAAACAAATGAGATGATTGACTTCGCTTCTGAATGCATGGTTATAAAGACAATAATGAACATCTCAGTAATGGTACATCTGTACAGCTGTAACTAGATAGGTTATTGAGTAGAAGTGGCCAAGTTGTCATTACCATTTACATTAAAATATTTTATATTGGTTTTTATTTTATACTCAATAAGCAAGCAGACAGCTGTAGTGCCACATTCGGATGCATTGTTTCTAAACCACAATAAAAATCAGACATGTAACAACGGTAATACAAAATATAGAAATCCAATACCTTCACTTGATCCAAAATCACCAGGGGTCCATTAACACCAGCAACGGTTTTATATGCTTTACATACAATAAACATCAATGTCAAAAGAGTGTTTTTGCAGTCTAAATCAAATTACAAAAACTAAGTCACACAAATTCTACAAAGTTTTTTTTTTTTTTAATTACATGAACAAAGACCAGTAAGCACTGCATTAAGAAAAATAAATACACAAAAAAATAAAGCACATATCACCTTATAAAATATGACATCATGTTATGGTCAAAGTGTCTTAAAAAGAAAAATAAATAAAAAGAATGAGAATGTCATAACATACAAAAACATAAATCCTAAAATAAATAAATAACAGATGCTCATAATCAGAAAATAAAAGGTCATGATGCCTTGGAAATGTGTTATTCCTAACATTTTATTTATTTATTTGCTCAGGTTTAAGAAATTAGCCTAGTTATTTTAACTAAAAACCATATTTGAGAATTAACCAGTTTAAATATCAAATCTGTTAAAGCTCCTTGCATGTTGTGATGCCATCAGTGCATCTGATGATGATGATGCCATCTATGGCAAGCCAATTTAACATTATTCCTTATAACTAATCTGTATATTTTGTTACTACTATTTAGGGGTGCTCCGATTGATCGGCTACCGATCACTATCGGCCGATAATCGTTTTGGGATGATTGATCGCGGTCTCTAAAAAGGCCGATCTCAATGCAAAATCTTTATGAACATTACATTTTTTTCTTGTGCTGCTATATTTGATTTGGAACTCACGCGTGAAAATGTCTAAAACTTTACACAAATTTGGATGCAATTTCACTGCCTGAAAACCATGTCTTAGTGTTTCAAAAGCATTAAAACAACTTTAACATTGTGTTTCATCTTGGAATTGCACATCAATTATCGTAGCACAAGTGAAAGTCAACAAGACTTCTTTTTCAGTGTACCCCACACAACCCACACATAAGTAGATGTTGACTTGTGCAGTCATCATTGGAGCATTGCTGCCTGTCAGTATAGTAATGCCAATAGACATTGTCGTCTTTCCTGACCTCTGGTTGTTGTATGGATCACATCTTTCAAACTGGCATACAATAATATTCCCAAATGCCTGACTTCCATAGCAACATATTCTTCATCACTGCCCTCACCCTCATTGCTTCTATCCTCCTTGGTCCTCAACAACTTGTTTTATTACTACTTTGTATGCATGCATACTTTGTCAGTTATGCATGACGCTCAGATTTGTTGGTCTCTGAGTTGTTTTTATAAAAGTGCATTAAAAATGACAAAAAAAACTTTAGAAAACACATTTGGATGTACAATTATATTTTTTATAACTTGAATTTATATGTATTTTCTAGTCTAAAATGAGCTCACTATGGAGCCTTGAGCGCATGCGACCCAACATGCTAATGTCTCCGTTACTACTTAGTTACCAAAATTTTGAAGCACATGATAAATACATTTTAATTTTTCTGGTTGAAGGGGATGTCATTTGACATCACTAAAATCAAATTTTGTTGGTTGAACATTTATTTTGTATTTTAAATGCAATTTTCTTAAAGTAATTTATAAATATCCCTTAGAGGGTTAAAGGACTACTCTAAATGTTAAAACAGCTTGCCATGAAGCCATCACGATACAGATCGTGTATGCATATACCTAAAACCTGCATCATGTTGATTTTTTTTAACGTCATGTGTGGTGAAAACCAAACCAAACCAATCATTAAATTGATGTTAAGATCGTGCAATTAGACGTAAACAATATGCATTTGCAAGGAAAATATTCTCTAGTTAGCAAGCTGACCCTGAATTCATCTGATTGGATATTTGGATCACAGATGTACAATATCAGAAATGTTACAAATTAGAAGCTAAATGTCTGCAGCTGAAAATAACATGATGAGGATTATTATTAGCAGATGCAGCGTAAATACAGAGTGCGCCATTCATTCGTTGCGACATACACACATCATTTGATCGCTACGGGGATGGGTTTCTGTTTGTACGGGTCCTTCATAGTCAGCACTGGTCACTCACTTAATCTCGGCTGAGAAATATAGTCACGAGTCACGGCGAGGGCATTTTCCCGAACTGCGATGTGTTTGCTCCCGGTAACAGCAGATGATATTTCACTGACGGCTCCACTTACCATTCCTCTAAGAGCCTTCATGATGACTATACTACACAAAAATCACTACTGTAAACTATGCGTGAGAACACGGCTGCACATGCGCAATAGTGCTTCTGTGGTTCTCCCCCCCCCGCCCCTTTTCAAAATCGACGCAGTGAACGATGACGCCCTCTAGAGGTGTCACTTGTGACAGTATAATATGCTTTATTATATTTCATATTATTAGAATAACAACTTAAGTAAAATATGAGTTGAATTGAAAATTCAGAAAAATTAATTTCAGAATTTAAGGGTATTTATGTTTCCATTTTGCTTGAATGATACCAGCTCTAAATTAACTTTGCAAATCCCGATGATCATGTTTTCCAGCATGATTTGAGAATGAACATCTAACCATCTGTACAAATCTCTCGTTTTGTCACAAAATAAAAATAGTGCAGAATATTTAAAAAAAATGTGAATCTGATTATATATATAGATAGAGATAGATAGATAGATTTATAGATATTTCAATATATATATACTTCAAAATTAGTTTAAATAACATAAAATTATTATTTTTACAATTATTTTAAAATTATTAAAGCAGTATTTAAGACTGCATATTAATTTACTATTTTTTTTTAAAATGCTTAACAATAGACTTCCATTCATATTTTAACTAAAAATATTGATATTTAAAACGTTATGTCTCTGTTATTTGTCAACAACTGATTTTTTTTGAATGTTTTATTGCAAATTCAACAAACAAATTCAACTTTTCAGAATAAGTCCTAAAATTGTTGAACAAAAAAAAAACTATTACTATTAATTGGCAAAAACAAAGATATTCCATCTTTCTTGTAACAATAATAATAATAATAATAATAATAATAAATAATCAAATGCATTTCATATCTTTTTGGGTAAAATTAGAGGAAAAACAACAGCAAAACAAACACATTTTATCATATAAAAATACCTAAGAAGAGTTATCAAGTCTACATATCCAATTTAACCTTTTTTGTGATTTCTTTTTGTCATTACTTTTAAATAGCTTCTTAATGACGTTTAATCATTACCATCAACATCCAAATATCATAGAAAAACCATACAATTTCTATATTTATTTACATCATCTCAACAAAACATCAATAATGGAAGCTCCTCACACACAAATATTGAATTTAGGTCTTGAAAAGAGTTCTACCAATATCATCTTAAATGATTGTGCATCATTCATCCAAGACATAATGTATCCTTCTCTCATATTAAACCTACTGTGTAATTACATTGAATGCTACACAATTACAAGGCAAAACATTCTGATTCCATTTTGTATCTTGCAACATGATCAAATCCAATAAAAGGTCATTCTTTTAGTAAACTGCAAACCAATGACAATCTATAATACAAGTATGAGTAGTCTCTCATACAGCATAACCAAACCTGCTGTCATATTTTGCAGTGCTGTAGCTGGTGTTAGTGGAGGGCGGATGCTCATTTTGGGTTTGGCCCACCTGGCTGTAGGCCACACCTGAACGGAAGCTGGAGATTCGGCTGGTGGGGCGACTCTCGGGCGCAGGAGCATCCTCTCTTTAAGGACAGAAAGAAAATAAAAGACATCAGAGCCAGAATGTCTCATTGTCATCATCAAACTTCACATCATTGAAGGAAATGGATGGATTCATGAAGAAAAATGGAGGGGTTGATATCACCTAATCTCATTAGAGAACTCTTTGTCATGTTGATTCCAGTTACATTTGAAGATGAGAAGCCATATAATGATCAGAACGATCATGATGAGCAGTAAACATCCAACAACGGTTCCTGTGATGACCCCCGCTCTGTTAGGAGCTGTGGAAGATTAAGAAAACGATGATGAGAAATCAGTTAGCATAAAATCACCACAGAGTGTGTCTATGCTTTACTTACGCTTCAGAGCTTGAAGGTTAAGCCGACAGCTCTCTTTCCCAACAGCATTGGAAACTTCACAGGAATAAACACCGGAGTGGCTTACGGAGTGATTACTGATCAGAAGTTCTCCTGTGATGGTGTCTAAATGTATGGCGAGAGAGAGAAAAAAACAACAACTTTTATTTAAATAATTGAAAAATGTCAATCGTCCATAAATCTGTAGGGTTTTATATATATCTTTCTTTTTCTCATATGTAGAAAGGTTATTATAATGATTATCGATCACCTGTGACAGTATAATATGCTTTATTATATTTCATATTATTAGAATAACAACATCAGTAAAATATGCGTTGAACTGAAAATTCAGAAAAAATAATTTCAGAATTTAAGCATATTTATGTTTCATTTTGCTTGAATGATACCAGCTCTAGAGTGCATTAACTTTGTGCAAATCCCGATGATCATGTTCTCCAGCATGATTTGAGAATGAACTTCTAACCATCTGTACAAAGCTCTCATTTTGTAATTACAATAATTTACATATTATTGTACAGTGTCTATATGCAATTATATACATAAATAACTTAGTTAATCCTTGCTGAGCGTCAATGACAATTAATCAATTTCACCATGTAAAAACAATATGACTTAAATGACATAAATGTTTTATTAAACAAATTAGATTTATAATTTTTTTAAAGATTTTTTTTGTTTGTTTATTTTATATTATTGTATTTTATTTAGGTGCTAATTAACTTAATTAGGCCATTTCAATGCTTTTTAATATTTTTCTCCACTAGACATAAATAAAATAAATTGTTATTGAATGCATGATATATTATATCATAGGCTCAGCATTCTTCTGCAAAAGCCGTTATTTGGATATTAAAATATCACTAGAGAATCTCTGGAGAAGAAGCATGTCATTACAACACTTTACCAGCAGAGGTAGCACTTACTCTGAATGGCATCTGGAGGAATGGGCCCTCCACTTTCTCTCCTCCATGAATACAGCAGAGGTGCGGTGCCTTCATCTGACCTGCAGCGGAGAGATGCTGGTTCACCCACGGCTTCACCACCGTCAACCCAACACTTCGGCACAGACGGCCTCACTGCCACAAAGAGTGGTGAAAAAATTATTGCATTCACAATCAACTCAATACTTCAGCACAGGTGGCCTCACTGCCACAAAGAGAGTCAAACAACTGTTAGAATTCACCCATACAAATTCAAGACTGTTTATATAATTGCATTGTGCAATTTTATAGAGATCCAAAAGAACTTCTGAGAAGTGGTACACGGCTATTATCTTCAAGGACCTCTCTTTAAAATAAACCTTTCAGAGGAAAAATCATTTTCAAACAGTTTGGCCCTTTTCAACAGCTCTGAGTTTGCCTGAACACATCTCCGTTTCTATTGGTCGAATGAACTGACAGCCCCACCCCCAAACACACACCATTGGTTGAGCCCCTTTGTTGCCATGTAGGGCTGGTCGGTATTCTTAAACGTTTCACTTTGAAAGTAAGACAGTGGTGTAGTTAAATGTTGTCTTTGCATATTAAACTGGCAAAGAGGAAAGCATTTCCATATCAAAATTTGAAGGAAATTTAAAGATCCCTCATGGAAACATTCTGTTTATTATCATGCTATTTTACCAGTTTTACCATTTACTTCACTTTGTTATTCTTCTAAGTATTTACCTGTAGTGGCTAATGAATCAGAGTCTCACACATTCACAGAAAATAGCTTACTTCCATGTTGCAAAATAAGGTTGATACAAAGACACAGATATGTGACATTACCCATCACAATCAGTGATATTTTTCGGCTGTCCACTCCAGGTGCCTTTTTGACTTTGCACTGATACGTTCCAGCATGACTGGCAGTCAGCGAGGAAATCGATAGAGATGCATCTCCTTGGGAAGGGTCTGTAGCTGTGAAGTCCACCCCTTTCATTAAATCAGAGTCACCATGGGTGTATTTCCTTCCACCTGTGTATGATATGATCTAATAATATTGAAATGTAAGAATCAGTGAGATTGTTCAAAACAGTGCCTATAGGGAGGCCAGTTTGTCATTTATTTCTAGAATAGGAAGCAGTGACAGATCGCCTTACGCACCATCTGGTCTTTTTTTGTGGTGTCTGGGCTGACAACTGACCACTCAATATCAAGCTCGCCTATGTCTGCTTGGCTTGACGTGTAGGTGCAGTCTAGAGTAACCGGATCCCCTTGAGCCATCTGAATAGTTTGTGGCCCACTGGAGGTCACTTTCATTGCTGCTGTCACATCTGCAAAAGTATGGCAAGAGATTCATGTGCATCCATCTGCAAAATTCTCTGAAGAGCTGTTCAGTCATGACGTCAGTTTATATGCCAACCTGCAAGGCTAATCAATATCATTCATATTGAATTAGTTTTTTTTTTAATATAGTAAATAGGGTTGTGGTTAACATTATGTTAAGAAACTTTAATGTTGTGTTACATATTTACTATGGAGGACAGTTTCCACCACATGAGAAAAAAAAATCATGCTTTGGTAAATTATAATTATGAGATAACACGTTACAATTATGACAGAAAAAAAAACATAATTATTACATAAAGCCGAAATTATGAGATAAATAGTCATAATTATGACAGAACAAAAAACAATCATGACAAAGTCGAAATTATGATTTAAAAAAGACCATTCTGATAGAAAAGAAACAATTGTGAGTGTCAAATTATATAAGATTAAAAAGTTATAATTATTACATAAAGTCTAAATGATGAGATAAAAAGTCATAATTATTAATACCAATAATTTTCTCCTATTAAATTCGGATAAGACAGAGATATTACTTATTAGACCAAAAAACAGTACACAGAATCTCTTGGATTACAATTTGCAACTAGACGGATGTACGGTTACTTCATCTACAGTCAAAAATCTGTAGACAGCATATTAGACAACAACTTGTTTTTTGAAAATCATATTTCCCATGTTACAAAAACAGCATTCTTCCATCTTAGAAACATTGCCAAGTTACGAAATATGTTACCTGTTTCTGATGCAGAAAAGCTAGTTCATGCATTCATGACCTCTAGACTGGACTATTGTAATGCACTGCTAGCTGGTTGTCCTGCATCTTCAATAAACAAGCTACAGGTAGTCCAAAATGCAGCGGCTAGAGTCCTTACCAGGTCAAGAAAATATGATCATATTACCCCAATTTTACAGTCTCTGCACTGGCTAAGACATAATGTAATAAAAAATATTATTACTTGCCTATAAGGCCCTTAATGGGTTAGCTCCTGCGTACCTAACGAAAAGTGCTATACAAATAAACTTGAATTGAATTAAATTATGACAGGAAAACAATTATGACAAAGTTGAAAATTATGAGATAAAAATATAATTATGACAGAAAACATAATTATGACAAAGTCAAATTATATGAGATAAAAAGTTATAATTGTTACAAAAAAACAATTATTACATAATGTCGAAATTATGAGATAAAAAAGACAATTATAATAGAAAATGCACAATTATGACAGTCAAAATATATGAGATAAGTCATTATTATGACATTAAAAATAAGAATTATGTGATAAAGTCATAAATATCACATAAAAACTTTTTATGCCAAATGTGACTTTTTAGGTCATAATTTTGACTTTTTATTGACTTTTTATTAACTTTTTAATCTCATTAATACTTATTTGTTATTACTTAGTAGGAAATCCATGGCTTGAAAATGGTCTCATTTGATGAATTACCAATGGACTACGAACATCTTCAAACTGTAACGGTAAATATACAGTTGATATATTAAAGCTACAAACCAGAAATAATTTATAAGCATAACTATAGTCTTCGGATTGTTCTGTTCTTTCTAGGTCATTTTTTTCTCTGTCATTCAAAGTCGAAGAATGATCATTTTCAATTAGCCTGTAATTCCCAAATCTCTCATATTCCTGGTTTCATGCTGACGGTCTGTCCTGGTGCTCACTCATGAATGATTCATATGAGTTCATATAATGAAACTCTCCAAATGACTAATATCTGGATTTGGTCCAAATGCTTGTGAATAAATCCCATCATACATCCATGACTTGGATGAAGGAACACTTTCAGGCCTAATTGAGGAACTTTAGCTGTGTTGTGAGCAGAATGTCAAATTAACCCAGTCTAGAATGTGCTGGAATTCAAGTTTCAAAATACATCAAGTGTTTTTTTGCAAAGAAACTTACTTGCTTTGGGAAAAAGCATGGCGAGCACAGTCAATATCATAAATGAGGACGATGGGGACAAACTTGTAAGTCTAACACAAGGCCATTTTAGACATCTGTGAAAGATGAAAGCAAAAATACAGCAAACGCTAGAGAAGAAGAACATGACTGAAATTGGCTGTGAGGAAGATAATGAGCATGTCTTGCTGGGTACCATATTTTGAACTTTCAATGGTAACACACATACCTTGTGTTGCAGCAGCGTTTTTGTACATTCCCGTTTGGACACCTTTCTTTGTGCCACTTTCTCCCATTCAGCTGACTGAAGTTTTTAAGACACACGCTTGAGCCTATAAATGAAAAGAGACTGCAAAAAGGATATATATTTTACACCAATAATTCACTTTACTAGTGAATTTTCACAAAATGCTAGTTTGGTGTATTTACTCCTCTCATATCAATGATACCTAACAGGGAATGTTTTAAAAACTTTCTGGCAAGGTTCTCTCAAAGTTATGAACAAACATTCTTCCAATAATGTTTGTTATAATGTTTGTTCAAAGTTATCTGGTCTTTAATAATATTCTTCAAATGTTAGCACAAAAACATTATTTATATATTGCTCATGGATTTTTTTCCTGGAACATTTTTTGTTGGCCATTCATCTAACATTTTTTAAATGTTACTAGTTTTAGAATGTTCAGAATGACCACTCAAAAGCAACGTTCCCATAATGATTGCAAAATGATAAAATGGAATGTTCTTTACAAAATTCTTAAACTAGTTTGGTGTTCCCAGTCAAAAATAACCAGGCTTTCAAGAACTGCTTTTAAAAATGCTATATTATCACTAAATCTCGGATTCAATATTTTTGTCAACTTGTTTTATTTCAATTAACACAGGCTTTTTGGAACTGACTGGTTGTAGGCCTCATTGATCTGAGCTGGTAAACAAATCCGCAAAAAGTTACTGATAAGTTATTGAAATATCCAAAATGATGACATTTTAGGAAGTTGTTATACCCTGTGCGAACAAAGTTAGAAGCTTTTAGTCCAATGTGATAACATTAACTAGCATTTTTGGGGAAAAGAATGTCCTCTCTGGGTCAAAATGACTGGAACAAAGCAAAAAAAATTACATTTTAAACGTTCAGATAACGTTTGGATATGTTAGCAAAACATTATAGCTTGTTTAAAAGCACTTCAATGGTAGTATACATGTATCTTACTTATAAAAAGCAAAAATAGGACACAAATCCTGGAAAAATGTTATACCACAGCAAAAGTCAAAAATACGCACCTGTTGTGACCCGAAGACATTTTTCCACAATCACAAAGCGAAACGTTTCTTATCTACTTCCCTGTGGTGAGAGAAAAGTACACAGCTTTGTTGCTTTTCTTTTTGTAACACACTCCATTCTTCCTCCTACACTATTTTGAGAGCCTGTAACCTCATTGTTCAGCAAAATCTATCCTGTACCATACATTATACAACACAAGTAGAAACATTTTGGCTGCTCATGCTGATCGACCGGAACAACAGGTTCCTCTTTGTGCAAAGGTTTATCTGAGCTAGAAAATAGGCCATAAAAACACAGATATTTCTGCAATTATACATAGAGACTTACACATGGAGGGCCAGTTCATCTCTCTGCTTTAATCTTCATGCACGTCACCTTCTGAATGGCTCCACTGTGAGACAACAAGCCTCTTCTGGTATCAAGTGAAGGTGGTGCCATGGTGATGTGGTCCACAGAGACTGGTCTCAGGTGACAACTGGTTACTCCACTCAGAAAAACAAAGGACAGAATAATAAATGATTGGAACGTTTTAGTACATCAACATGCAGGGCAATCGTTTAATGCAATTATGTTTATTGACAATAAACAGTGTTTTTTTTTCTTGCTATGCACAATGCATTTTTACAAAGCTAACATGCAGTGAAAGTTCATCTAAAGGTGGTTCCTTTACAAAGAACAGTGAGGCTCCCTCATGCCAACCTAAATAGGCCACTGCAGCCTTATCTTTAAGAAATGCCCATGCTTTTTAAAAATCTAATGAGAATTATTAACATAAATGAAACTGTGAATGCAAGATCATGAAAAAGACATACATTTAGGACATTTAGCTTCACATGTGAGACTCAGATGGTTAACAGATGGCAATTATGCAGTTCAGTAAGACTGCTGGGAAAATAAATGTTTCCTAAAAATATAAATAAACAAAATAACACTGTTTGGATCAAAGGTTAGCAGGCTATTCATATAGTTAAAAATGCATGTGGTAGCCTAAATATAAGAATTTTGAGTACTTATGTTTTCACAGTAGCACGTATGAACATGAGATCACAACTTTTGCTTCACAATCTACTGTGCATTTTACTGTGCCGGTAAGGTAACCTAAACATGTTTTTCTTGCATAAATCTTTTCAAAATATTAGACTCTAGATAACATGACAAAGATACATGTATTTGAAAGTTAGCAAAAAAAATCCCTTTTTTTCCTGATGGTTGCAGTTTCTGTTGGCCAAAACAATGGTTTCATATTTGTGTAAATGCAAAATCTTTTGTTTTTCATAATTGTCTTACTATTTACATTGTTTTATTTTCTGTTTAAGTACACATTTTTCTTTACATTGTTTGTAATTGCCATTTGGTTTGACATTTTGTTGTCTAATGCATGCAATTCATTTTTTCATGTCTTTTCATTCATATCTTTTGGGGTGTTTTATATAATACTTCACACTTTTTGGGCACACACAACTTAATCAGAAATGGGAGGTCTGAGTTAGTATCTTCCGGTGTGCCTCAGACCCCAGTCTGATCCGCTTTATGAGGGCGAAGTGCCAAGTGCGTGCTTTACATGATCAGTAACAAGTGTGCGCAATAAAGCCGAACCTTCAACTTTCTTGGCTTTGCAGTTTCTCTGCAGGACAGTCGAGGTGTTATATTCGCCTGCGCAACAGATTTGACCGCGGTGTTTGCTCAAGCCGCTGCAGGAATGAGTGAGGATCAGTTTGACGTGGTTGTGGTCGGCGCGGGCCTGTCCGGACTCAGCGCGGCTCGCAGGTTGCAGAAGAGAAACCCGCAACTCAGCGTCATGGTTCTGGAGGCCAGAGGTGCGTCACAAGAAAAAACGACTTTTATCTTGGATATCCTTATTAATGAGCTATATAGGTCCGCTTGCATAGCTATACAAAACACTTTGTTTTTCTTATTTGCTGCACACAGACCGTGTCGGAGGACGAACTGTAAGTAAAGACCTGCCAGCTGCGAACGGCGTTGACCAGTGGGACATGGGGGGACAGTGGGTGTCCAGGTAAGCATTTCATTTTAAAATAACTGTTATTGTTATTGCATGTTTCAGGGAAGGTTTTTAATGTCACTTTATGCAGAGTTGAGACACACTTTTAGACTCACGCTTTCTCTTCACGATACAATTTCTTACGCCAGATAACAAAAACAAATCTCATGCAAGTTCTCCACGTTTTGCTTTGGGTTTCCTTCTGGTGCACCGGTTTCACCCAAATCCAAAGACGTGATAGCTGAATTGGAGACATTCAATTGTCCGTAGGTATATGCTTGTGTGTGTTGTCTCTGTGATGGACTGGCCATCTGTCCAGTGTGTTTCCCTGTCCTCGGTCCAAAACGTTGAGACAGGCTCCAGCATTCCAGCATAAGACAAACGGCTTGAAAAATGGATGGAAGAGGCTCGATTGGGCTAAACGCCAAAAGAGTTGTGTGACCCCAAACCAGGTCCGAAATTAAAACCTGGCAAAAGCCAAAATGCGGGAAGTTGTGGGCGTTATTATTTTCAATGCCTTGAGAAATACTTTCTGCAGCGCACAGCTTTTACGTTTTACTATTATGCTCTAGATTCTGCAAATTATATGAATTGGAAGTAGCCTAATACTTAGCCTATATTTCCATTCCAAAGAAGTCATAACAGCATAACAGTCGTTGTTCAACGAAGATAATATCGCAAAAAACAAACAAACAAAAAAAAACATGTAGACTAAATATGCATTTTCATTAAATATTTTATGTTGGACAATCAGAATTTATAGACAGCCTATATTTTAAGAACATTATTAAGCAGCTGAATTGAATTGAATATTATTTTGTTCTATTCTTCTATTCAAAATGTTGAAAATAACATTAACTAAGATAATAAATGAGTAGGTATATTTTAATAAGTTATTTTAATTGTTACTGTAGTTTGTGTTGACTATACTGTAGTTAACAAATGGAACCATATTGTAAAGAGTTACCAAAATACCTTTGTTCAACCTTTTAGTCTAGCTTTATTATAAAGCTTACTCTTGCCTGAATGTATGTCAGTGTTGTTATATTGTGTTGTTCGCTTGTTATCCGACATCTACAGCTGGATCATATTGTGTAGTATAGTTCACCCAAAAATTAAAATTCTGTCATTAATTACTCACCCTCATGTCGTTCCAAACCCAGACAACTTTTGTTCATCTTCATAACACAAATTAAGATCCAAGAGCTGTCTGATCCTGAATAGACAGCAGCACAACTATCACATTCAAGGCCTATAAAGGTAAAAAACGGTTGAATAAAGTCGCAATTTTGTTTTCTTTGCATACGAAAAGTATTCTCGTAGCTTCATAACATTACAGTTGCACCAGTGATGTCAAATGGACTATTTTATCAATGCCTTTACTACCTTGCTGGGCCTTGAATGGGTCGTGCTGTCAGTGCAGGGTCAGAAAGCTCTCTAAAACTAAAACTATTCCTTTAATTCTAGGCTGAAGGATCAGATTTTTATTTTATTTAACAGGAAACAACACACATTTGTGTAACTGGCCTTCTGAACCAAAACCTTACTGAAATATAGTGTTTGTGACAACTAGCCCCAACTTGCTTGTTTTTGAGTTGTGATAATTGGAACATCCCAAAAGCTTGTTTAAGCCTACAGGCATTAATAATGTGTTTTCAAGCGAGATGTTTATTGCTGTAATCCACTACCCGAACTATTAGAATAATACCCCGAGCTACTCTCAGCGTCCACCGAGATCAATAAATGGCCGTTGCCTGGGGCTGTGAAAGCCTTCGCTTTAAATGAGGGCAAGCAGGATTTTCATCAACTTACACAAAGTCGATTTGAAGGAGGCATCTGGCTGCCTTTAGATGTCCGAATGTGTGCAGAAACACGCTTTCTGGTAATTTATTTGATTTTCATGTCCTGTAGCTCGCAGACCCATGTCATGGAGCTTATTCGAGAGCTTGGTCTGGAGGTCTTTCCACAATACACCGAGGGCAAGAAGGTGCATCACGTGGGTGGTCCGCATGCCAAAATCAAAATGTACACCACTAGCATGCCGTCATACTCCCCGCTCACCCTGCTGGACTTCACCCAGGTTCTGCGGCGGGTATGAGAAACAGCACCATCTCATCTGACAAAGTGCCGGTCCACAATAGAATTATTCTTTTTTATTGAGTGCTAGAATGTGACTAATAGCCATCATTTCATATCTTAATGGATGAAGACTTCAGGTTCCATATTGTATCTAAGATGCATATTTACCTTGCACGTTCAGCCACAATAGATCTTGTAGATCTGTATAGATGTATGAAAGCTTTTTAGCTGCTATTTCTAAGAGTGGTTAATGGATTAATGGGTTTCTCCAATCTATTGAGGTCATTTTTGACATCATGCTAGTTTCAAGCTTAACCATAAGGTGAGAGATGTGTATATCGCCTAGATTGACCATCTTACTCAGACCATATCAGTTGAAGACCCAATGAGTTCTCCTAATGCCGAGCTCTATGACGGCATGACGCTTCACACCTTCATGGAAAAACATATCTGGACCACACGTGAGCATTGTGCATTTCCTGCATTTTCAGTTCACTGCATTAAGCAAAGTAGTCTATTGACATTTGCCGATACTTATCTTTCTGTGTGTCCTATAGAGGTAAAAGAGGAGCTGGCCTTGTGTAGCCGTATCGTGTTCGGCTTGGAAGCGTCTCAGGTCTCCTTCCTGTTCTTTCTGATGTACTCCGCTGCAGCAGGGGGCACCCTACGACTCCTGGAGACCACACCTGGCTCGGGTCAGGAGTTCAGGGTCAAGGTGAGGGAGAGAGATAAGGTGGATAAACAACTCCGAGACATGACAGAGATTATTCTCACTATCTACAATTGTTACTTGCACAGTTTCGAGGCCAATCGTGGCTTGAAATCCCAGCTTTTGTAATACAGACTGGTTTAAAAGGAATAATTCATACAGAAATCATTATACAATTTTGGCATTATTAATTCCCTCTTATGTATTAATGACTTGTTTTCTGGGGTGATTTACAGCTGTGTTTATTATTGACTAATGTATGGAAAATAATTTTAATAAATAATTTTTTTTGTGTTCCACTAAAAAAACACACATCAGAATATGGGTTTAGAACAACTTTAGGGTGAGAAAAATGAAAGAAAATACAATTATCATTTTTTTGTGAATTATCACTTTAATATATAAAAAAATAAATGATAAAGATCAATTCGAGTTGCTTTGTAAAAAGGCCTGCAAAATGTAGAAAGAGCGTTATTATGCAACCAGTGCACCATCTCGCATAGTCAAATGGTTAAGCTGTTAATATAATATAAAATGTAAAGAAAGGGAAAGTAGTTATCTCCTCTTTCAAATTAAAATGATTAATAAGATTAAGATAAATGTATGT